CAACCTTAAATAGATTTGTTTCTAATGACTTTTGATAGAAAATTTTTTATAAGCTATCAACTAAAACTATTCTAGACTTTCTCGATAGAAAAATAATTTAACAAATGAAAAAAAATACATTTAAATATGATTATGACTTAATGTACTTTTTAATTTTTCAAATAAATTATTATGTTTGATATAACATTTTATAATACAAAAAACATATGATTTTCCTTGTTGATATAAAATATTGATGATTTCATCATAATAAAATAATAATTTTTTTTTTTTTTGCATTGTATATAATAGCAGAGAAACATGTGACAACATTCATCGACAAGATAACAATGAATATCGTCTATATGATTCTGTACAAGACAATGACCATGTTTTTTTCTCAATCTCATTCAATATGTGTATTGATCATGTACATTTTGATGATCAATAATTACATATATACATAAAGTGTGCAATCAATTAAGCTTTATGTATAAGCATATATGGAATGAAGTTTAATTAATAGCTTCTATTAATAACAATTCTTTGGAGAGTGGAAAAAAAAGAAAATTGTGTCTCTCCAGAGAAAAAATAACTCTCTTCAAGTGTATATAAATGAATGATTTTTCAATGTAAAAATTATTCATCTACATGAATCAACTAACAAATTTTCTTATTATATTTTAGGATGGACTTAATGGTACAAAACAAAACAAAATAATATCAAGCAATACAATATAAATATGTGGGTATTATTTTAATTTTTTTTTCTTTTTTTTTAAATTATATATATCATTAAGATTAATGGGTTAGCGATATGCAACCTATTAATTTTTCTGAAAATATGTTTTTTTTTCTTTTCTCTTTTCAGTGGATATAATAGAAAGTAAGTCTTATTTTAAATTTAAACGAATCTAAATAAATTTTTTTTCTTTTTCTTCTAGATAATCATCGTCTTGCATTCAATATCAATCAGTAGAATTGTAAGTATACATTTCTTTTTTTTCTTTATAGTTAGAGAGAGAGAGAGTGAGATAGAGTTATGAGTGTTATTTAGATCGTCTTCTCAGGTTAGACGTTAAACACTGGCCAGGAACTATCTTGGTGTCCGTGGCACACGACCAGGCTTATTCAGACTCATTGACATATCTCTCACGGGGAGGGTATGAATGATACGAGTCTGTCCTGTGCGTGTATGAGTGTTACGCTCGCCACGGCTCCATCAGGATGGTTCCTGGTCGCGCGCACGAATAGAATAGAATAGACATTTATTTCATCAATCCAATGCGATTTATTTGAAACGAAAGGAACGCAAAAAAATCTATCACGACGAGTCTATTCGATTGAAAAGCATTGAACACGATTATTCCGCTGATCGGCGACATAGAGATTGCCATGTCGATCAAAGGACAAACCCATGGGGTAGTTCAACTGATTTGCTTTTTCACCTTGTCCATTTCCACCCACAATGACAGTGCCCTCTTTCGCTCCTTTAGGCCAACGCATCACTCGATGATTCCACGAGTCTGCTACATAGATGGTACCCCATGTATCGACGAACAGTCCTTGAGGAAGCGACAATTGTGTCAGAGCATTCCCTTCGTCTTGACCTCCAGCGACGACAATTCCTTCTTTTGCACCTTTATTCCATTTCATTACACGATGATTTTCGTTGTCTGACACGTAGACAGTCTGTTGTTGATCAACAAAGATGTAGTACGGATCGTTGAGTTGATTGAGACCATCACCTTGGCCATTACCACCAGCCACAATAGTTCCATTCTTGTCTCCTATTTGATATCGTCTTACTTCATGTTTGCCGGTGTCAGAGATGTAGAGATATCTCTGATCATCCATGGCCAATCCAAAACAATGGATGTTATTGATGAGGATTTCTCCTTGAGTTGTGCCACTACGACGAGACCATCGTACGACTCGTCGATTGTTGTTATCGCAGATAAGAAGACTATCCGTCTCTTTGTCGATCAACACATCAGTTGGCTCTTCCATTTGGCTCAATTGATTTCCTTTGCCATTGCCACCAGCTACTACTTGTCCATTCGTATTACCCATCTTCCATTGGATGATACGATGATTGGAGTAGTCAGCGATGACCATCGTTTGATCATCATCAACGAAGAGACCACAAGGGTTCCAGAGTTGATTGGTGGCACTGCCTCGTCCATGGCCTCCAGCAACAGTCACTCCATTCTGTTTCCAACAGGCATCAACTGGAATATTGGGAATTACTACAATGAACAAAAAAGAAAAGAAATCATCGTTATCGAAGGGATCTCGTCTCTCGTGAGAGCAAGCGCTACAAATATGACATTCATCTTTGAGAATGCTCATTCCACAGATAAAAGTTCAGAAGTCTTTTCCTAGTTTCTTATGAGAAAAAAAGGATTTGGTAACGATTCTTACATCTATGTTACTTCTAGTTCTTGCCAAGATCTTTTTGATCATAAAAATAACACCTGGAGATTGTTGTAAGGAGGTTCTCCAAGAAAGAGTAATACTAATTCCATGTAAGTTTTTGATAGAAAAACATAGAGATCTGAGGATTTTTTCAGAATTGCAAGAATTTAGAATCTTTTTGGCAGAATGATCATTTATATGAACATCAGAGAAGATTCTATCTGTATCTTGTGAGAAGAATATCGAATCGTTGAACAACAAAATATCAAACCTAATCCCTATGGTTTTTAGGAAACCTTAAGAATACATAATTTTCTGTATGATGAATGTAGATCTGCCGAAGAATCTCCTAAGTATTTGCATAGACTTTTGGTAAGTTATGTGAAGCTGTTCGAAGAACAACCGTGATGTACTCTGAGTAGGATCATGAGAAGGTTTGGATACAGGCGAAATTGAACAAAGTTGAGAGGATTCCATGCGAATCTATTTAATCTGAGAGGACTTCTAGTTTTGCAAATGCTGAAAAGATGGATATCAATCCGAACGGAGTTCTCCAGTGACAAACATTGGGATCTATGGATTTTATGGGCTTTGAAAAGAAAGTGTTCTAAAATGCTATTTTTAACTTTTGATGAACACCATCTGCAAACCATTGTATAAGGGTCCTCAAAGAGAATTTTGATGACTAAATAAGATACTCTGTCAAAATCTGAAAATCTAAAAATAATGAGTATCTTCTGTGAGGATCATATTATAATCCTTATATAGTGCTTGTTCTGAGAAGTCTTCTGTAAGCTCGCATGTTATGGATATATTCATGAGGATTTGAAGAGTAAGTATTTTGAAATGGTTGATATCAGAGATGGGCAATTTCAACTCCAAAATTGATGCTTTTTCTCATCAGAGTGAAAGTGGAGTAGGAACAGGACAGAATGGAGGTGCCTATCTTTAAATTTTATGAAAAAGTTTATAAAGCAATAAATTAATATGCTATTAATTTATATCAATCGTAGATTTAATTATGTTCAAAAACTTATGTGTATTTAAGAGTGTTTTGGTCGAAGTTCAGTTTTGAAGAATCCGACTCGAATTGAAGTTAAATTGGAGTTGGAGTAGGATTTTAGAAAAAAGAAGTGGAGTGGTATGGGGTTCGAGCGAAACACACTGCAGTTGAAATTGATGTGGAGTTTTAGAAAAGAGTGGGGTATGAATGAGTGTTGGTATCCTTTTCACCCTCACCTACACTCATACTCACACCAATACCCTCTAAGGAGATTTCTATGTTCTAGTGAAATTTATTTTGAGTCTGTAGCTCATTGTCTTGTGATATAGAATGTTCAAAAAAAAGTAAACTTGTATTATAATGAGGAGGGCTTTTGTGATTTTTTTTTCTTAAATATTGAAAATTTATATTAAATTTTTTTTCGTACATATTTTGAAATCTAATTATTCTGATTTGTTTAATTTTATTAATTTACAATAAAATTACATTACATTTCATTTAAATTAAAATGAAAGTAAAAAAGTGGAATTATTTTACTTATTTTCAAATCGAATAAAAACAAATCTATTCAAATAATTTCAATTTCATTTAGAACAAATAAAGATCTCCACTTTTTGTAGTTATTATAGTTTTCAAAAAATTAAAATTAAAATGAAATAATTCTTACTTTTATTTCGTTTTCGAAAGAAATTTACGAAAAAATATTTTCTATTTATTCTTTAATTAAAGTTTAACTGAAACGAAATGAATTTGACAGAGTTAGATATTTGAAATTAAAAAAATTCATTATTTAGGAAAATTCTTTAAATTTATTATTTTTACGTGTTTTTTTTAATGTTGTTTTTTCATTTTTTTCTTGAATAAATTTCGTCTTAAGGAGAAAAAAAGACAATAAAAAAACCAGCAAAAAACATTTTTTTCAAAAGTATGAGGAAAAAAAGGTTAATGATGTGTGGTCTGGTTTAATGGATTGGTTTAGTATTCGTCATTTGTTTTTGAGCCACATTCAGTAAATACACACTAACTAGGGAAGAAGATTTCAATTTATCCTAATTTCAAAACCACTAATTAATAAAAGTATCAAAGGATGTTGGGTGTAATGATTAAAAATTATATAGATATTCTTAAATTCACATGGATAGTTAAAATCTTGATCTTTAAGAATGTTTTGAATTTTTTAATCGTACAAATAGTAATCGAGTCTATGCTAATGAGCTCTCTTTTTATTTTAACTTATTAAGATAATGTGTATGATTAAAAACATTTTTTTGTTAGATCTAGAGCGCAGAATATTCACTTTGTTCTCTGTTATCGTTTCATGACAATTTATTTTTGAGTTCAAAAAGATTAGTTTATATTTATTTCGAAAACTACCGAATTTCGTCTTCATTGCTTTGGAATAAGATGCAATACAACAGAATGAAACACGAACCATCGTTTATATATACATATATTTCTTTTATCCTTTTTCATAAGACTTTCTGTAAGATACTTATCAGTCTTGTGTATAGCTCATTTATGTATAAATGATACATTAATTATTCTACTATTGGTACAATTTAAATAGGAAAAACTTGATAAAATATCAAATTTAAAGGAATCGCTAGTTATTTTCTTACAAATTAACTAAGAGAACATCATATAATATCATGTATTGCGATTAGTATCAGTATAAATAAAAGAAATATCTTAATTATATCTTTCTTTGACTATTTTCTTTTCATTAACGAAACGAAGAGCTCAACATCTTTGTCAATCGTATTGCTGCAGTTTTCTGAGTTGTTCAAAATAATGGAAGAGATAAAGAATGGTACTACAATAAAGTTGACGATAATAATAGAATTGAATTTTCTTCATTTGATTCACTACATCCTAAGATCATTGCACTCGTTGGTAAAAACACTATGTCCTTATTGGTTTATCTCGATTTCAAATGAGCTATTAATAGAAATTGAATTTTCTAAATTAATTTTGACTCATATCAAATTTCAAAACAAGAAATAGAGAATATTTGAATATTCTGAAAAAAGAAAAATCATTTTCATAGAAATGTACGCTACATATGTATAAAAACAAGAACAAGATTATACAAACATTGCTATTATCACTCTTATTCTAACTATAGATTGTTTTTAAATAAATACCGACACAATATATTTTATGAAAATAAACGAATAAATGTTTGATTAACTGCTATAACCATTATGAATCATTGTTTAACATATGTTGCTCTTTGCTTAACCTCTGCTAAGATGAACTGTTTATAGGCAAAAAAAAATATTCACTCACTAACAGGTTGCGCATGATAAATTGGATAAAATGTTAATGCATTTTTTGTCTATTTCTGGGACAAATAGAAAATTTCTTTATCTATGAATAGATAGAGAATTTCAAGCTCTACAAAACTATTGATTTTGTTTTTCAAAGAAAGTTTTTCTTGTTGACGCAAAATTATTAATTTGCGCAAGCTTTTGCTCATGAAGGGCAATGATTAAAGTATAAATTATTGAACATAAATAGGAACTAATACCTGTCAATATTTTTCAGTGCACCTTGGAAAAACCATATTTTCAAAAGTCAGACACGCTCTATAAGATATTTATTATTTTGCCATCAGATTTAAAATTAAATTCTGAACAAAATGGTATAAGTTTTAAATTAAACGATGCGTGGTTTACAAAAAAAGGACTTTTTTAGTAATTTTCCATTTTTTTTCTCTAAAAACTGTTTCTGTCAAATATTCCTTTTAAAAATCTAAAACATCCATCCAAATATGCAGAATTTTACAGAGAATTTCCTGGAGTCGTTGAAACTTTACTGAAATTTTTATTTAAAACATTTTGCTCATTCTTTCGGGATTTTTGACAGTCGCAGTTGGACGATTAAGTAGGGACTTATCTTTGAAAGTTTGCGCGGATATGGGTGTGGGTATCGGAGAAGACATCTTCACCCACATCCACACTCTCAAGAGAATATAGCAAGATTTCATGATATACTATGAAAAAAAAAAACCCAAGCTTCTCTGATATATAGATAGTCAAAATTCATTTTCTAACAAATAAAAAGCTAAACATTTAATTTTACATAGGTCGGGACTAATCAATGTTAAAATATCGAGTTACTGTATTTGTAAAAAGTTCCAGAAAAGACTAAAATATTTTCCATAATTCTAAAAATTGCAGCAGAAAATTTCACGGAGATAGAATGTACTAGTAGTTCCAGACAAACAAAGATGATTGAGAAGCTAATAAAATCAAATGCAAACTGAATTTTAGAGATCATATTTCATCAGAATGAGATGATTGAATTCGAATTTATAGATTAATTCGACCAATAAAAATGTTATTTTTCTAGCGATTTTCCCCATGGATTCTGATGTCAAAACAGTTTGCACTATAATATTGAATGTTGTCCTGTTTTTAAGATAGTGAATAGACTTTTTCTGCTAATATTGTCCTCGTTCAATGAAGTTATCAACGATGTTAAGTATAAAAGAAAAGCTTTTCTATCTGTCCATATCCCGATAAATATAGTTTTTCTTCATTTTAAAATATTTCAATCATTAAAATTATATTATTAAAGTTACTTTTTTTTTGTTTGAGTGAAATCAAGGAATGTAGAAAAAGAAACATTACGATTTCTCACTCATTAC